CAATTAGCTCGTTGAAGGCAGGAACAGCTTCTTTCTCATGCCTCTATTCCCAGAGCCTCACATGCAGTCCGGTGCGCAGTAGGCGTTCAGAAAGTTTTGCTGAATGAATGAATATCAGCACAGTTTATCAGCCATCACCTCGTTCCTACCAGGAACATGTGGGAGATGTGCCTGCTTCATATGTCTGTGTCCTACATATGGCAAAGGTCGCCCAGGGAACTACCCTGAGGCAGAGAGTCTCTCCAAAATGATCACAAGACCATTTCCCAACCTGCATGTTCTTCGAGAACCTTGCAGTTCTCCAAGTCTGTGTCCTCTCTGCTTGAAATTGGACAAGCCCCTCTGGCCAACTGGGGATGGTGGAAGAGACACTAGCCCCTCTGGGATGATGGAAGAGACACTAGACTTCCAGGGCTGGCACCTCAAAGGTGATTCCGATTCGATCTGGCTCTCTCTTGCGGTCCTCATTTTTAGTACCCAGCCCCCCTGCCATGAGAACCCCAGGCCACATGGAGAGGAAAAGACGCCCCGCCCTCAGCCCAGGCTGAGCTCTCAATGGGTGGCACATGCCAACTTTCCAGCCATGTCCCTGTGTTTCCTCGGGCGTGGATCCCACAGCCCTCAGTTGAGAGGACCCAGAGGATACTGTATGGGTGGGAGAGAAGCCCTCCCCACAGAGCCCCACCCAACCTGCAGGTTCATGTGGAAATCAGTGTTGCAGACAAGTGCATTCAGGGTGGTTTGTTACACAGAAATAGATCAGCCAAATACAGCTTCACACAATATACAGGCAGGGCTGAGGCTCACGCCTGAAATCCCAGCACTTCGGGGGGCCAAGATGGAAACATTGCTTGAGCCCAGGAGTTCAAGACCAGCCCAGAAAGCATAGGGAGACCTCCCATCTCTACAAAAATTTTAAAAATTAGCTGGGTGTGGTGACACACACCTGTAATCCCAGCTACTCAGGAGGCTGAGGTGGGAGGACCACTTGGAGCCTGGGAGGTGGAGGCTGCAGTGAGCTGTGATGGCGCCATCGCACTCCAGCCTGGGACACAGAGAGAGATCCTATCTCAAAAAAAAAAAAAAAAAGACCACATGCGGCCTCTGGGAGTGGAGGAGCCTTTTTTTCTCCTGATAGGTCCTTGCCACCAGGGATCCTGGCTTATTCTGTAAGGGGCTGGGAACAGCCTCTGGTGTGGCCCATTTAGACATCTGCCTGCACTGTAACAGGCTTATGATAATAATCAAGGAGCGCGCTGGGACAAATGGGGTCAGACCTGTGGACCTGCAGGCCATCCCACATCCCAGCTTATCTGTCTGTCCTTGGCTCCTGGGGGCCACCCAGCAAGAACCCCTTCCTGATAGCAGTCTTCTTTTGGAACACATGGGAGGAACACCAGGTCTCAACTCAGGGAGACACATTCGCTTCACCCCAGGTGGTACTAACAAATCAACTGAACCTGCCCATCATTTGGGCATCAAACCACTGTGTCCAGGGCCAGCCTCTCAGGTCACTATCTTAAACATGCAAAAGGACATATCTTACAGTATGTAGCATGAGGACGCAATGTTCAACATTGCAACTTTGGCAAACATTTGTGTGTTTCATTTTGTTGGTGTTTTTTTTTTTTAGTGGTACAATCTCGGCTCACTGCAACCTCCACCTCCCAGGTTTAAGCGATTCTCCTGCCTCAGCCTTTCGAGTAGCTGGGATTACAGGTGCCTGCCAACACATCTGGCTAATTTTTGCATTTTTAGTAGAGACAGGGTTTCACCATGTTGGTCATGCTGGTCTCGAACTTCTGGCCTCAAGTGATCCACCTGCCTCAGCCTCCCAAAGTGCTGGGATTACATACATCAGCCATGGCGACTGACCTTTTTTTTTGAGACAGGGTCATGCTCTGTTGTCCAGTCTGGATGGCAGTGGTGCAATCACAGCTCACTGTAGCCTCGGCCTCCTGGGCCCAAGCCATCCTCCCACCTCAGCCCCCTGAGTAGCCGGGACCACAGGCACATGTCAACTGGCTAATTGTTCTTTGTTTATTTTTTGTAGAATCAAGGTCTCCTTATGTTGCTCAGGCTGATCTCGAATTCCTGGGCTCAATCTTCCTGACTTGGCCTCGTAAGTGTTGGGATTACAGCCGTGAGCCCCCACACCCAGCTAACATTTGTTTTTCTATCATTCTGCTTTACCTAAACAATCCTAGAATGGCAGCTTCTAGGACACTGAATTGCTTCCACGAGGAGGTGGTTTAGAGTGTGTGAGTAACATATTTGCAGATAAGTGACATTTTCTGTTTTCTAATAACTCCTCCAAGTCCTTTCCCATTCATGGCTCAAACACAGCGGCAGTTCCTCCCCTGGGAGTGTGTGCTTTTCTTCCGCTGAGCTGCACATCCCCCACATCCCACTCCTATCCCCCCTCCCCACCCAGACCCACGGGCCACCCTTGCCAGCCTCATCTCTGCCTTGGGAAGCTGGCATCTGAGAGCTATGCCCCCTCTGCCAGCACCCTGGAGGTCTCTGCTCTGACTTCCAGATGAGTTTGATGAAAGGGAAGCACTGTTGAAAGTGAGGAGGGCTGGGAAGGGAGAGAGGTGGGGTCTTCTCCCTCTTCCTGCCTGCTAGGCCTTGGGGGCTGTTGTTGTTTGGCCTCCCCTCCCCTCCCCTCCCCCTCCCCCCTCCCCTACCCTTCCCCTCCCCCTCCCCCCTCCCCTCCCCTCCCCTTCCCTTCCTCCTTCCTTCTCTCTCTTTCTTTCTTTCCTTTCTTTTTCTGAAACAGAGTCTTGCTCTTGCAGCCCAGGCTAGAGTGCGAGGATGCAATCTTGGCTCGCTGCAAACTCCGCCCCCTGGGGTTCAAGCAATTCTCCTGCCATAGACATTTGCCACCACACCCAGCTAATTTTTGTATTTTTAGTAGAGACGGGCTTTCACCATGTTGGCTGGGCTGGTCTCGAACACCTGACCTCAAGTGATCTGCCCGCCTTGGCCTCCCAAAGTGCTGGGATTACAGGCGTGAGCCACAACGCCCGGCCCTTGGTTTTGTTTTCTAGAAAAAGAATCTCACTTTGTTGCCCAGGCTGGTCTCAAACTCCTGGGCTCTAGTGCTCACACCTTGGCCTCCCAAAGTGCTAGGATTACAGGTATGAGCACCCTGCCCAGCTCCCAGGCCTCAATTGGATGTGGCTGCCTCACTTGGCCATACCGCAGGTGTCCTGGTGAACGGCCCCTCTTCCATGGCTACAGCTATCACTGGCCCCAGGAACTCCACCTTGTCTCTCCCCTTTGCCTCTTCAGCCCAAGGGACGCTAAACTCTTCTGCTGTTCCTAGTTCCTGGGCACTTCACTAGCCCTTCTTCATTCTCTTTATGTTTATTCATTTTGAGATAGAGTCTCGCTCTGTTGCCCAGGCTGGAGGGCAGTGGCGTGATCTTGGCTCCCTGCAACCTCTGCCTTCCCAGAGCGATTCACATGCCTCAGCTCCTGAGTAACTGGGGCCACAGGCATGTACCACCATGTCCAGCTAATTTTTGCGTTTTTTTTTTTTTTTTTTTTTTGTAGAGAAGGGTTTTCACCACGTTCCCCAAGCTGGTCTTGAACTTGGGAGCTCAAGTGATCCGCCCACCTCAGCCTCCCAAAGTGCTGGGATTACAGGTGTGAAGCACTGCGCCTGGCCCCTTCTTATTCTCTTAACTCTGCCCACAGCGTGTGTTATGGGCAACACTGTGTCGTGATAATCTGCTTTTTGTTAAGACTCCATCTTAGCTTCTTCATTTTAGTTATCCCCTTCATTAAGTATGCAACTGTACTCCCTATGCAGCCAGGGCAGGATAACACTGGGCACATTTGCTAAGAGGCCAAGTAAAGCGGCACCAGCAGAGCCTGGGAACGCAGGTGCGTCGAGTGCCCAGAGCCCCCAAATCCGTAAATTGTATGTCTATCTTTTAACTTTTTGCTTACTCTGCTTCTGTGAAAAAATTGCTTCAGCTAGGTTCCCCTCTCCCTTTTCAAACTAGGGTATAAAAAATCCCCTAACTCTTTCTCAGGGTCGAGAGAATTTGGGGCATTGGCCACCTCTCTGTCGCCGACTAAAATAAAGGACTCATAATTCAATCTCAGAGTGTGGTGCATTCCTTGACTCACTCAGGTATAACAGTGTCTCCCACAAATTCTATGCTGAAATCTTAACCCCCAGGACCCCAGAACGTGGCTGTACTTGGAGACAGAGTCTTTAGACAGGAGGTTAGGGTGGGCTCTAACCCAACAGTACTGGTGTCCTTTTTGTTTTGTTTTTGCTTTTTCATTTTAAGGCCTACAGCAGGATGGCATCCTTTTAGGAAGAAATTAAGGCCAGGCGCGGTGGTTCAAATCTGTAATCCCAGGACTTTGGAAGGCCGAGGCAGGTGGATCGCCTAAGGTCAAGAGTTCGAGACCAGCATGGCCAACAAGGCAAAACCCTGTCTCTACTAAAAATATAAAAAACTAGCCTGTCATGGTGGTGCACACCTGTAATCCCAGCTACTCCAAGGCTAAGGTGGGAAAATCACTTGAACACGGGAGGCAGAGTTTGCCATGAGCCAAGGTTGTGCCATTGCACTCCAGCCTGGGGAACAAAAATGACACTCTGTCTCAAAAAAGAGAAATGAAGACAGACACAAACAGAGGGATGACCCCATGAGGACGCAGGGAGAAGACAGCATCTACAAGCCCAAAGAGGGGCCTCAGAAGACACCAAAGGTACCAGATCTTGGACGTCCAGCTTCCAGAACTGCAAGGAAATACATCTGTGCTCTTGAAGGCTCCCAGTCTGCGGTGCAGCCTGAGCAAACCAAGAACCACGGTGAGGAGCCTCTCCATTCACCTACTCAAGCAGCCTTCGGATGAGCTGAATCCTGGGAACTGCCTCACCCCCCCAGCATTACCAGTGGTGCTATCGTATGTCCCATCACCAACCCCATGATATCTATCATCATGTTTCTACATCCGTAAATTTGTCTGCATTTATGCCATGAATTCCTCTTTACTGAAATACTGCAGGACTCACTACCACAAAAAGTACTTAAGCTGAAAGACTTTCTAAAGAGGAGCCAAGTAAATTCAGCTCTCCACCATGCAAAGCATCTGGTCGTTTCTATAATAAAGGTCCTTCCATGTTCAGGGTGCTTTGGCTCTGGAACCTGGATGAGTCATGCTTGGGCTCCAGGGTGCCTCTGAAGATGCTGCCTGAGAATTTCAGCTGCGGTGGCAGTGGCTGGGAGTCCCACTGACTCACGGTGAGGCCAGGCGAGACGAGCTGGAACTTTTAGGGGAGAGCTGGAACTTAGGGACATCTACAAAGCAAAAAGGAATCACGAGAGCAAGAGTTATTAAAACACCAAGGGAGCTATATCTAGTTAAACTTACTTTAACAACATACAATTTTACAAGATTATAGGGCTGGATGAGATTTATTGAGATTTCCCAGCTTCACTCCCCTCCCCTCTGCCCCCATGCAATCTTCACTCTGAGCTACAAATAATACATTTTTTAGCATCCCAAGTGCTCTCACTAACATTATTTCATCTGAACCGCAAGAGCACATGCGATAGAGAGGATGGTATTAGTAAGTTTCATTTTGCAAATAAATGAAACTGAGGAACAGGCCATTTGACTGACAATCCAAGTTCACACAGCTAAAAAGTGTCACAGCTGGGGCTGGAGACGGGATTTTTAGACGGGAATAATGGCATCATTTCCATATTTAATTTTAAATATTTTTTAAAATAGATATTTTTAGAGATGGGGGTCTCCCTATGCTGCCCAGACTGGTCTTAAATTCCTTGATCCTCTCACCCCCACCTCTCAAAGTGCTGCGATTACCAGCGTGAGCCACCACACGCAGCCCATTCCCGTCATTTACACTCTCCATTAATCAAAGCATGCGCATGATCTAAAACAGCAAATATCACAGGCTGACATCACAACCGAAACTCACAGTGGGAAGGGATTTCTCCTCGATATCTGGCCATGAGCAGGAAAGGGAAGAGAATGCAGAGAAGAAAAGAAAGAAAGAATCGGAGCTGAGCTTGCAGGGAGAGAGAGTGAGGCGCTATTTAAAGTTCACCCTTATCTCGGTTCCAACTGTGCAAAGAGACCTAAGAGGATTCGGCTGAGCACAGATACCGTGGCCTCTCCCAAGCACAATGACCCCCACCACCCCCGGTACTCCATTCTAAGCTGGCAAGCTGCAGGAGTCAGATCAGCATCCTTGTCACATCTAACACCGTGGCGAGCACATTTGCAATACACAGGGTTTCTGTAAGTCCGTGAAAATCCTACTTTAGACTTTCATTGACTCAGCAACAACCTCCGCCAATGATGGCTCCCTGATCCTCCCCTCCAGCTAAGGTGCTCCCTCTCATTCCGCCAGGAAGCCCCACCCCGGCCTGAAGTGTGCGCTCCGGACCTCCCATAAGTTTACCTGTCCTTCCAGGCCTGCCTCCCTGCAGGAAGCTTGCATGTTTCCATCCATAGCAAAGCTTCTGGCAGGTGGGTTCCTGGAGCCTTTATTATCAACTCCTCTGGCTTCGTGTTGAACGTATGCTCTTAAGCATTAGTATTCACTTCTAAGTGTAATTCTTTGTCTCTCAATGAGACTGCAAACTCCCTGCAAGCAAAGCTGCATTCTGTATTTTGTTTTTGAGACAGTGCCTCACTCTGTCTCCCAGGCTGCAGTGCAGTGGCACAATCACAGCTCACTGCAGCCTTGACCTCCTGGGCTCAAGCAATCCTCCCACCTCAGCCTCCTGAGTAGCTGGGACTACAGGTGTGCATCACCATGCCTGGCTAATTTTTTAAAAATTTTTTGTAGAGATGAGGGTCTCCCTATATTCCCTAGGCTTGTCCTGAACTCCCAGGCTCAAGCAATCCTCCTGCCTTGGCCTCCCAAAGTGCTGAGATTACAGGCCCACTGTGTGCAGCCAAAGCTGGAAGCTTACACTTCGTTGAATCTCCAGGTGTCTGCCTATAGTAGGTGCAGCATTTTTGTCGATTTTTCTGGGGACAGTGTGGGCAAAACTGGGGTCAAAGTAGCAAGTTGTTAGCATCAAACAGGAAAGGGGGAAGAGTTGGGAGTAAATCATCTTCCCTGGTTTGAAGTTTCGGCGTTAAGATCCCTGTAGCAGAAGCATTTTCATTGTTGTTTCAAGATCAGCACAAGGTAAGAAAATAAACAGGAAGGTCCCTCTGTGCTTTTTTAGTAACAATGAAGATAAAATAGTATCTGTTGAATGGCCAGGTGCAGTGGCCCACACCTGTAATCCCAGCACTTTGGGAGGCCGAGGCAGGCGGATCACTGAGGTCAGGAGTCTGAGACCGGCCTGGCCAACATCGTGACACCCATCTCTACTAAAAACGCAAAAATTAGCCAGGCATGGTGGTGTGTACCTGGAATCCCACCTACTCGGGAAGCTGAGGCAGGAGAATCGCTTGAACCTGGGAGGCGGAGGTGACAGTGAGCAAGACTGCGCCATTGCACTCCCGCCTGGGCAACAAGAGTGAAACTCCATCTCAAAAACAATAAATTAATTAAATTAAATAGTACCTGTTGAATGAAGAAGAGGCCTATGTCTCTGTGATACAAGAATGGGCTAGTCACATCTCACCTGTAACAGTTTCAGATTTAATCCTATTACCACGCTATGCTTATCTGCCACTGCATTTACAGAACCCTTTCTCCTGAGTCCCGGGGCAGACCACAGGTCCAGGCAGGCTCCTCACAGCCCTCCTTTTTCACTGTGGCAGGTCCCAGCGCCTCCCCCGCTCCCCTTTCCTCTTGGTAGCTGTCACCACTCATCTAGACTACGGCATTCTCTTCCCTGCAAGCTGGGCTCTGGGAAGATGATTTCCTTCCGGCCACCATTCCTTGTGGTCCCGGAACACAAGCTCGCAGACCTTCTTCATTTCGAGATATTCATGTCCATTATTACAAGAGATAAGATAACACTGAAGGGGGCAAACATAGGAAAGTTATAGAAAAGGCTCAAAATCAACAGTTTTGAATCCTGCTCTGTAGCACTTGACTATCTGGTTGAAATGATAACTAGAAATTTCTTCTATACCTATCTTGGGGTCTCCGAACCTTTTCTTTCCTACTGATCTGTGCTCCCTGGCTGTGAATCCATCCCCACCTTCTTTCCCCAGAAAGGTTCATCTTTGCAGTACATGGACTTAACAGCAAGAACCATCGTAGGGGGATAACGGAGCCCTCATTTCACATGATTTAATGTCTGAGAACCTCAAGACACGGCAAGGCACATTTCATGACGCCTCTATTCTCCATGGGATTCTTCCCAAAAGGGCATTTTCCTAGGGCTCCTCAGGGATTATTTTTGCTTTTCTCTCTCTTTGAAAAATAACTAAGCATGTTTATTTTTTGAATAGGCTACTTTTCCACATAGTTCAATATTCAAAATGTACAAAAGCATTCAGTGAAAAATCTCCCCCCACCTCATCCTCAGCCTCCAAGGTCCCTTTCTCAGAGTTACCAGGGTTTTCTCGTTTTTGTTTTTTGTGTATTTCCAGCAATACTGTATACGTATGTGAGCAAATGCAGACTTAAAATGCAAACGGAATGCCCCCTCTCCTTTTTTACACAATTGATAGCACTGCTGTTTGCTCACTATATATGTGAGAGAGGCTATGTATGGGGGGTGTGTGTGTTTATGTGGGTTACAAATCAATACAGGCTCACGCCTGTAATCCCAGCACTTTGGGAGGCTGAGGTGGGTGAATCACCTGAGGTCGAGAGTTCAAGACCAGCCTGGCCAACATGATGAAACCCCCATCCCTACTAAAAATGCAAAAATTAGTCAAGCGTGGTGGTGCACTCCTATAATCCCAGCTACTTGGGAGGCTGAGGCAGGAGAATTGCTTGAACCCAGGAGGCAGAGGTTGTAGTGAGTTGAGATCACGCCACTGCACTCCAGCCTGAGCAACAGAGTGAGACTCCATCTAAAAAAAAAAAAAAACAGAAAAAAAAAAAACCACCCAAATCAATACACGAAGAACTTCCCCAGTCTTTCAACAGCTGTATAACCGTTCACATCCTGATGAACCATACCGATAGATATTTGGGCCATTTTCAACGTCTTGCTCTTACAAACAATGCTGACATCAATGACCTTTACGAATGTGCAGGCCCCTCTGCTGCAGCTGTCTGCTTTCTGGTAGGTGGACATTGCCAATGGCCACGCCACCTACCAGCATTCCTGGGGCTGCCCTGGAACACCATGATAAGAATATTCTGGTCGGGGGCGGAGGCTCACACCTGTAATCCAGGCACTTTGGGAAGCCAAGGCAGGCAGATCACCTGAGGTCAGGAGTTCAAGACGAGCCTGGCAAACATGGTGAAACCCCATCTCTACTAAAAAGATCAAAAAAAAAAAAAAAAAAAAAGAAAAGAAAGAAAGAAAAATAGCTGGGTGTGGTGGTGTACTCCTGTAATCCCAGCTACTTAGGAGGTTGAGACAGGAGAATCACTTGAACTCGGGAGGTGGAGGTTGCAGTGAGCCAAGATCATGCCGCTGCACTCCAGCCTGGGTGACAGAGTGAGACTTCATCCAAATAAACCAAGACCAAAAACAAAAGAACGACAGAAAAGGATTTTCCAGTTCTCCATCTGTTCCTATGAAGACGGATGGGATCAGGTAATTCAATAGTTTTCTCATCAGTTGAGTTTCTGTTCTTTTTCGAGCAGTATTTATCCAATATCCTGATGTGCCATTATTGTATCTTTAAATAGAAGAGAAATGCAAGGCCATGCGCTTGACATTGGAATTCTCCAGGGTTCTGTTCTTGGCCCACTTCCTGGCCAATCAGTGCCTGAATTTTCCATAGCTGAATGTGTTTCTCTCACCTGCGGTTCCCCTGGGCTCCAGGCCCATCTATTCAGCCCTCTTCTGAACTCATACTCTGTGGTCCCACAGGCACCTCCAACTTGACATTTCCTGCTATTTCCAGTCCCAGACAGGAGAGGCATGAAGCTTAACACAGCTGCCCACCCCAGATATCTGGGACTTTTCCCTTCCTGGGCTGGAAGCTCTCCCCTATAGCCTGGAAGCTCTTGAGGGCAGGGGCTGTGTCTTATGATTATCTCCCTAGGGCTAGTTCAGTGCTTATAAAAATCCTTGTTCATTACTGAGAAACGTACCAATGCCTCCTCCTTCTTTCTCATTTCAGGGTAATGGCTGAAACACCCTTGCAGGTGGACTTTGCACAGGGATAGAAAATTCCTGTCTTTAGGCTAGATGTCATTTTTATTGGGCACGGAGAATTGAGTGAGAATGCCAAGAGGCTACTGAGGGTGAGGGGCCCAGTAAAGACGAGGGTCCCATGGGAGGCTAAGGCCCAAGGAAAGGTAGAAACAGCAGCAGCCTGTATATACCAGCTTGTTTACAGACCTGTGGTTTTCACTCCCTATTTTTTTTTTTTTTTGAGATGGAGTCTCACTCTGGTGCTCCAGCTGGAGTGCAGCAGCACAATCTCAGCTCACTGCAACCTCTGCCTCCTGGGCTCAAGCTCTTCTTCTGCCTCAGCCTCCTGTGTAGCTGGGATTACAGCGCCCGCCACCATGCCAGGCTAATTTTGTATTTTTAGTAGAGATGGGGTTTCACCATGTTGGCCAGGCTGGTCTCAAACTACTGACCTCAAGTGATCTGCCCACCTTGGTCCCCCAAAGTGCTGGGATTACAGGCATAAGCCACTGCACCTGGCTCCTCTTGATGTTTTATTATGACTCCCAGTTGAGGAGTCGATGCAGGATTTTTCTCCGCCTCTTTGCCAGACATGCAGCAAGGGTGCCCTATCTACTCAGACCTGCTGCACTCAGCCCCTCGAAGGAGGGAGCACGTGAGTCAGTGAGTGAGTGAGTGAGTGAGTACGGGACCCAGCCAGCCACTCCAAGTGCCAACACAGGACCAAGCTCCATGTGGGGCCTGCGGCCAGGCCAGGCACGTTGCCTC